TATTCATTGCAAAGCATTGCAGAATAAAAAAATAGGTTATGAACGTGTGCTAGGAAAATTGAAAACATTAATAACAGAAGTTCAGCTGGACTTAAGCTAACTGACTTTTATGTGTAATTTTATGCATCTGTCTTCTCTTTTAAGCGTATAGTTAATTTAATTATCGGTAAATTTATTTATCCGTATTCATCATACTACTACAAAAAAAAAATCTCTTCATTCTTTGTTAAAATTCTTACAATTCTAAATTGCCTCTTGTCCTTAAAATTTATCCCAATTTGCAATTATTTCATTTCGTCTATCAAGGTTAATCAGAGATAAACTCCTTTGAGTAATTCAATAATTTTAGCTCTGCGAATTATAGTGCAGATAAAATAATAATTCTTAATTATAAACAATGCCGTCATGAAGTTTTCTCTTTAACATAAGTGTCTTCAAGAACCTACCCTATACCCTACAAGGAAACAAGGTTACGCTAGAAGTATAAATAAGAAATAAACGATAAAATCATTTTGCTCTCTCCTACGCTTGCAACCCTTCTCAAAGGAGTTGCTGGTGTCGGTGTAGTTTTTGTTCTTGTTTCATCGTCTGGTTGACATTAAAACAAAAGTAATCACCGGCACTGAAATGTTATGTACTACGGAAACGGAGTAAATGTGATGCAATTTAAATTTATGAACAATTCCAGAAAAAGGAAATGTGTAGGAATCGATTACATCAGCTAATAAGCGGTGTAATTAGTAAACCGCCATGGTGATGGAATTATTTAACTTTAATGCATCTATAGAATCTTATATTCTTCAGAATGCTCCATATATTTCCCTGTTCTTCAGAACGTAACATTTACATTGATAATAAAGAAAAATCAAGAAAATTGTTATTGATTTACATCCAAAATAAGCAGTAAATGAGTGAATTGGTTAATTATTATATGTATTTCGCGTTTCTTGTCATCTAGGTTTACCATTTAAATCTATATCATGATTACTATTGATATCTACCAAGCTGTATCTCTGATTATAGATGCAGTCCATTTTAAATTGGTGTCAAATAATAGGTGGTAAAGCATTGATATTCTACTAAAACGTGCAGATAAAAACATAAATTTTAATTGCCGAAAGCATTCCATTACGTATTGATTGATGTAAAGACACGTGTTATACCAAATTATATTACTAAGAGGGCGGAGGACTTAATAATTATTACTAATTCAAAACTTCAAAGCACATTATCAGAGTTTCCAGAAAACTCTTCGAAAGCTATCGAAAGGAATAAATTTTTCAAGGGAACTAGCAAACAAGCCCGCCAGATGAACGGGCTACAATCAAAACAAAATTTATAAGTCCTATGTGCACCTGAAAAGAAAATGCATAAAAACATTTCAATATGATTGAAATCAGATCACTCTTTAAAAGTAACAACCAATTCCTAAATAATTTTTTGTTGCCAAGCCAGGAAACAAAAACTTTTGACATATCAAAAACAAAGAGATGAAACTTTTTAACTATTAATATAATTGATGGATTTTTTCATTCTCATTTATAAGCTTCATTGGCAATCACCCATTATATGCAATTTTTAAAGCTTTTTGTGGCAACAGTGAAGCTCAAATAATATGTGGTTTTTTTCCTTGTTGTCAAAATTTTTAAAAACATCGCAGTAAACATGCTTTACTGCAATAAGGAAAATGCTGCAGAAATATACTTTAAAACAATCGTGAATACATAAATATTTTACGTATTCAGCATTATTTTAGAGTATTTATGTGCATAATTCATTTTATGTACATAAGTATTTTATGTATTCATAAAATAATGCTAAATAATTATTATTTCTTTATATGTCGAAAACAATCAAGCTTTTGACCTGTCTTTTTTAACTACTTGTTGTTGTAGTATGTTACAGAGATAAAAATGGCGGAATATATAGTTTCAAATGTTTAAATGTTAGCGGATCCTGTTTAGTAATGCTAGTGAAAACTATTGCATTGGCTTATGAAACAGAATGAGACTAAACTTGAAAAAAGCGAAGATAATTTTTCTAAAACTATCGATTAATCATCTAGAGAATAAAACGGAAGTCGTTTTTATGCTCTAGTTTACATATGAATAGGCACTTCGGTTAACTACGGCGTTGTTATGACCGCGGCGATTGACGCAATGCAATAATTTTAACAGAGAATAAATATTTTGAAACCCTGATAAACGAAAGGACAGCTGTTTTATGCAAAAAGTTAATAAGAACTGGTGATCATTTCAGTAGGCAATACCAGTCTAGACCCAAGACTTTAAAGACCCAACTTGGCTCTTGGCTTTAGACCAGAGAGTCCTGGACCCAACGTGGCTTTGACCCAGAGAGTCCTGGAACAACATGGCTTTGAGCTAGAGAGTCCTGGAACAGCGTCCTGCCTCTAATCTAGATAGTGAGATACAGGATTAAGTGCGGCTGCTAATCCTTGTGCATATGCAGCAATAAATGCTTGCTTAGAATTTTATTGCCCAGTCTGTAAAAAAGAACATCCTCCCGAAATCTTCCGCTATATTTCGCTGGAGATTAGAACTTCGACATCAGAAATCTTACTGGCTTAGAGTATACTCTGAGGGATCACGTTCAATCGATTCGCCTGCAAGTTTTTTTTCCTTTCTGTACTATTACATCCAAACAGCTGTATCAGCTCTTTGCGATGCTCACCTTTTCCTAGAGCAAAACACAAATATCCTTCGGATATTCTAACCTAACATTTTGTTAATTATTTGAAGTACCTACTACCTTTACTGATCCAACATTTTTCACATTGCTGGTCTATTTTCATTCGTTTCATCTTTCTTCGCCTACTGGTGGCGGCTAAGTGAAATATCCCATTCTACCATTTTGATTCTTCATATTTTCCTTTTGTTGTTCCAGACATTCTTTTATTTGATGCAGAGTAAAAGCACGCTGTCGCGCGCTGTCACTCTCTTTCCATTCGACACAAGCAAATGGTGGGGCAGTATTTTGCGAATTATTCGCATTTTATATTCCTGTCGGACATTTTGGAACTGCTCTTGATGGTGAGATAGCTGCTGTTAAGGAGCTACAACAACTTCTGAGTAGAAATTTGACTTTTGTTAAAGCTGTGAAACCGTCTGACTCGAAGGCAGCTATTCAGGCTATAGTTTCTAATGCTGCAACTACGTCTTTAGATGTATTTCAGTGTAGAATTTATTTGGGAAAGCTCGAAAGGAAACAAATCCACGTAACCCTCCAGTGGATCCCGGCCCGCCGCTGAGAGGACGGTAATGAACAAGCCGATCTATTAGCTAAGAAGGAATCCATGATTTCACAGATGATTTTATCGGAAGGGATAAATAACGAATGGCGACTTTCCGGAACTTTTTTTCTTGTATTCCAAAAATCCAGCAAACTTAAAGAATTGCAAAGTGATTCTACTAAGAAATTCAGAATTCTAATTTGAATTTCTTAGTAGAATCACTTTGCAGTTGATATGTTTTTCCTGAAAATTCTAACGAAAAACAATGTGAAATTTATTTATATATGCAAATAATCTAAGAATTGTAGTAGAAACTAAAGCATAACAAGAAAAAATATCTGAAGTTTGCGATTTATTCGATATTTGCAGAAAAATGAAGAAATCTTTGAAAAAAATCTTGAAATTTTCTTGCCGCAGTAAAATTTCTGCCCGACAGATATACAATTGTTCGAAATGTTTACGTCGTCTAATTTCATAATGTGTGCAAACAGAATAAGAGGTCTTTTTTAATTTATAAATATTGTTTTGATTTAATAGATAAAATAATTGTGCGATGTTCCAAATAATTGTATATGTTCCAAGTATGATGATATATTCCAAATAATTATCGAGCTGTCGCCCAGGCGGTATAGTGGAAGTCCTCTACGGTAGCGAAGTGCCCGGGTTCGATTCCCGGAGAAGACATGGATGTTTGTAAATGTATAGTGTCGGTGCGGCATGGCGGCACTCTAAATATGCGGCGAGCCGAAAGTCCTCTCGTGTGACCCCTGGGGTGCTCTCTCTGAAAATTAGAATGTGGACAAGTCAACAACAACAATTATCAAGCTACCTAAAATATACCGATTTTGTGTTATTTCTAATCATACACTACTTAGCACTACGTCTAGATTTTCTTTGGATTATCTAAAAGGTAAGACCTTTTTCTAACCATTTTATGTGCTCCTTCCTAGATCCGCGATATTGTGGTAAAAGAATTAAGATCTTAGCACGTGATACAGATTGGAATCAAAAGTGGTTTTCGGTTTTGGTTTATTTAATTATAGCAAAGCACACTAGGGTTATCTGCCTAAGGGGAGGGATGCCTTCGTGAAGGGTTTTCTAAGGAAAACTGGCTCGTATACACTTTACACATGGGAAAAACCACGAAAAAGCCCTTGCAGCCAGGCCGTTTTCGGGATTCGAACCTCGGACCGAAACCAGTGTTCAGCGATTTTACCGCTCGGCCGCTGGTGGGAGGAATTAAAAGTGAGCTATTAGACAAAAAATATTACCACATATTACCATCTGCTAAAATCAGATGTTTAACGTTTAGTTAAAATTTTGATAAAAGGAAACATATAGCCATTCGTCATTTATATGTTGCTGTACTATTTTAATTATTATTATCAGATGTAATCCTATCTGCAGATAAAAGTTAACATTCTGTTTTCAGATAACAATGAAATTACTCTGTGACCCGCAATTGTTTCTACTAACGTCAGTCATCGTACCTATTCAAATACCGCTACCTCGGGATATACCTTTAATAAGTACATGTTTTTTTAACTTTTTTCATCTAGAATACTAGAGAATCAGACAATGATATTTGTCTTTAAACTATTAAATTTTTTCTCTTGTCTCGAAAAGGTTTGTGGAGAGGGCCATCACGGATGGTTGAACTATAAACACACAACGGACCACATGTTATTATCGTCTTAACTGTGTCCTTGGCCTAGTCCTCTAACCTCTGATCCTACACTCTCTCTTTCAGAAAGCAACAACCAGAAGACGCCTGGAGCTTCATCAACGATCGCAGAGGCTGAATCCAAGCACTTGCTCGACTGGTTCGACAACAACCACCAGACAGCATTTTCAGTTATAACTCGGACACATTTTATTTTTTCTTTCCGCTCTGTGAGTGCCGGCAAGTGATCACCACCCTGTAGCGAAAGATCGGGGTGAAGATGGGCAAGTGCTATTCCTGTTTCCGCGCCCAGTTTACGCCCCATGCCCAGGGTGGGAAGACCCAGGGGCTGCCCCTCACACCCAGAAAGCCCAGCAAGCCTGAGGTCCCAGGACTTCCTCGGCCTCCAAGCGTCGATAGTGAGAGTAAGCTTTATTTCTATTTATTTTTATATGAAGACAAATGTTATGTACTTTTATTTATTTTTCAGGGTTTCCATACATATTTGAAATGATTAAACGTTTTAAAATAAACTACCAATAGCACTGATAATTTTAAACTGTCATACTTATTACCTTGTTCTCTCTTGATCATATATTATTGGAAATCCAAACCACGTGACTAATCTCTTAGTCTAGTCTAGACTCCGTTTCGTAAACAAACTGTACAAGGAAGTAATACAAACTCCAATTAAGGAGCTAACGACGTTTGAGAGTTATGATTAAATTGAAGGTTAATAAAAGTGGGAATATAGTGCTTAAAGGGTCATATTTCGGTCGGTGTATTAGAGCTAAACAGTGAAATGTGAATTTTTTGGAGTTTGAAATTTTTTCGTATTTGGTAACATGTTTGTAATGCTGTTGTATGAACGGAAAGTACAAAAAAAAAAAAAAATCATTTTATGGCTCGAGAAGTTAATGCTGGTTTTAACAGTCTTAAATACAGTTACTTGAATTTTTTTTTTTATTATTTTTCTTTGTCAAGAATTGAAAATAGTCTAAAGAGCAGTACTTTCATCTTTTATGTTAGTTGTTTGCTTGAATAGCTGCAATATGAGCCACCTAATATTTCTGGTATAAGTCATTTTTTCCTTTATGCATTAGTTTTTAATGTAAAATTTGTGTTTCAATTTTAATTTTATGTACAGACATTTTATATGTTAAATTATTGTCGTCCTCTCAAATTTTTAATCCTGCATTATGCAAGTTTTTCTTATCTGACTTAAAAACTGAGATAAAAGCTCAAAACTTCTTTTGATCACAGAAACTCCAAATACATGCTTATCAATAATTAAACAAGAACATAATACTAAAGAGATTAAACATTTAGTTCACACATTGTTTCATTTAAGCCTGCCAGCTAAGCTGATAAGATTACTGAATCCTAGCAGTACTGTCCCAAGTTCGGTTATTGGTTAGATAAAGGTGACATAAACGTTTGTGACTTTCAAGGTATGATATAAATTCAAGCTAATTTTTTTCGGAAGTCATTCCACAGATGACAGATAAGCCTCAAATGAAATGTCATAATCAGAAATGAAAAATGAATTCTAATGAGATATATTATCGAGTTATCGTTGCGAAAGCTATAAATCATAAATAAATGGCAGTTTACGTAGCATAGAAACTGTTACCTGAAAAAGCTAAAGATACTGGAGTAAAATCTTTTACGGGGAATGATCGATCATTAAAGGCTTTTTACAGTATTTAAAAAATTGCAAAAGTGCAAAAGAGCGCAAAGATAAGCAGAAATTTAACAATGATATTTATTAATGCGCATATAATTTATGCGCATATAAATATAGAGTATGACATTGCCTTATGGTCTATACCTCTATTTAGCACAGCATCTTGATATGTCGGGCCATGCTGCAAATTACATTTTCCAGTGTGCGAAAGAGCAAACTTTCCCACAAATGCAACAAAACTCAACTGTGTCTTTATGCTTCGGGCGGCAACGTGAGCAACCAGCAACCACTGTTAATCCATCTTACGGAGATTTTTTTAATGGCCGGTCGCTTTATTTAATAGCCATTAATTACCCTTGCGCCACTCCAAAGCCGGAAAAGGTGGCCATTTCATTAAGGAAGCACCTAATAGGTGGCCAGCGTTGCCTCCTATGAAGGGAACGGACAGTTACAGCCATGTCTTCTCCGGAATTCGACCCCGGGCCCAGCAGTCAGGGTCTAACCACTATACCATCTGGGCGGCATCTTATGGAGATTAAATGGGATTTTAGATCTTGCAAATTGTAGAAGCGGAATCAGATTTTCCATACTATAGCTCTTCAGTCTTTAAACTCACTTGATACTATGCATTATCATTTAGAGCAGAGACCATAGCCTTCAGCTTCATGAAAGAACGAGACGATATTGTTTATATAGTTTCTCTCAATATATTCTGACATTCATGCTGTTGTTCCGAGCCATGTAGCACACTGTAGCCATTGGAAAAGATGCCTGCCCATATTATTACTTTGGATGGCATATACGGCATATGCGGATTCATTAGATGTTGCTTTTTTTATTTTCTTGAAATTATTGGTAAACTGCAGAGAAACATTAGATGCGTAGTTTAACTGCTTGTTCTTCAATTTAACACTGTCTGAATTTACAGTCATTTAGTTTTGACCAAAGGCCCCCAAAAGTGTACGGGCCCGTATTTTGTCAAATTCATTGTTACTCTTGAGAGGGTTGCTGTAGCTAATGGTTCCATAGTATTACTCTTGCTGTACGGTGGAACGGAGGTAAATTCGACATTAAGTATATCTGTGCACTGCTCTGCGCTGCAGGTAGTTTGGAATAAAGTGATTGATAACATTCGAAGAAAAAAATAATCTATCTGATTGCAGTTCTGACATTAATGTCAAAAATTTTAGAAACATTAAACTAAAATCATAAAACTTTAATTTTCTTTCAAAAATATGCTTACCTACCTTTGTTTTCGAAAGTATTCTTCATATAAGAAATAATGAGCTTAAACTTTAATATCTCCTTTTTTAAGTAGAAAACTAAAGAAAGAAAATTCTTGGGACCATTCCGAGATTGCTAGCAAAATCATTTGCAATAAATATCATGTACCCGTTTATAAAATTATTTTGAACAGAACGACAGACAACATTTAGAAAAATGTCTTTTCAACCATTTAAACAGTTTTTGTTGTGGAAAAAAAAAACAGAATAATAAGAGAATTAAAAATAAAAGGAGACTGGAGAAACCATCAAAATTATCACAAATATCAAAATCATAGAATCACAAATATCAAAATCATAGAATCACAAATATCAAAATCATAGAATATCAAAATCATAGAATTATCACAAATATCAACATCATAGAATTATCACAAATATCAACATCATAGAATTATCACAAATATCAAAATCATAGAAGACCTTGTTCAGACCTCATGAATTGTATAGAACAGCTTATAGATCAAAATTCGTTAGAGTAGATATATAATAAAACGACTGCAATGAAAGTATTGAGAAAAAGAGTTCAGTGTTTTCTTATCACGGTGAAGCGCATCAGTATGAAAAGAATAGTAAACGTTTTCTTCTCGAAATCTGCAACAAATAATAAAGCTGAGGGATGGGGAAATAAGTGTGAGAGAAAATGGCAGAAACTAATTCAACACCTTCGATTGAGCTTGTTAACCTCTAACACAGGAAAGAGCAAGAAAAAAATAGAATTAAAAATAGAATTAACTACAAAAGTATAACATTCTAGATTACTAGTTATGACTGGGAGTCGTATTCAATCTACAGAAACCATATCTAAAGTTTATTTATGGTTACTAAAGTATTGTAGCTATAGTGAAACTTTAAAATAAAATTTTAAACACTTAGCAGAAAAATTTAGCATGTAAAATAATTTTAGATATATTGCTTTTAAACACATTGCTATTGCGAATCTAGCTGCTATTTTTAATTGCGCTAAAATAACTATATCACCTATCTCTTTTATGTCCAAATTTGAAACCCATCTAATATTTGAAATTCATCTAACATATTTTGCAGGAGATACTATAGAATGCAAAATAAGAAATGCAAAATACTTCTTGAAAGACGACTACTCACGTTACTTGTCTGAGATTGGTGTGGCAAAATCAGACTAGAAGCTGAAAAAAATCTGTTTGAATCCTTGTCGAAAATATTAAACCGTATTTGAAAAGCTAAAATTGCTTTAATAAAATTGTGGAGATTCATTTAATTTATCTAACAGTTAATTTTTATTTTAAAGCAACTTCCCTTTGATCCTCATTCTCAACCCACGCTTTCTTGCCAGATTGTTAATAAGCTCGCACGCGTGTATTCAAATGAATTAGAAAGAAATATTTATAGGAAGGTTTTTCGAAGGTGGTTTTACAGTGTGTTATGCCTGCTTGAATCCACGTTGCTGTTGCTATCTTGAATTACTAGCGAATGGATTTCTGTGGCGTTGAGTGTTTCTAGCCAATAAGCTTGTTTACGCCGACTTTTACGAGTCAGAGCCTTCCTGCGCGTTAAATTATCATATGAGACGTTAGGCTACATTTAAATTTAAGTTCATCATTATCTGTCTGAGTTAAGCTTTGTTTGAGTTGTTGGCTTTTGTGTGCTCCCAAATAAACTTATAATGGGTAAATAAGGGGTTCTTTACACCTTTCTTTGGACTTGTTATACTTAAGACTTCAGGATAATTCTTCACACAGGATTATTATTATCCTCAAGGATAATTCTTGAGGACAATTCTTGAGAATTTTTTGTTATGTTTATTTGATAGTACAAAGAGTGTCTAAATCCTTTTCGTGGGCACATTTTGTCTCTAACAGGAATTTTCATATTTAATTTCAGTTTATCCTGTTACTGTTTTTGTGAAATGTGTATAAAAGTACCAAATACCTAAAAAAAATTCAATGTCAGTTATTAAAAAAATTTGTTGTAATTGTTAATTGTCTTATCTTTAGCAAAGGCATTAATGTCTTATTACTTCTGTGTAATATCCTATTTTTTACATAGAATAAATTTTCTCACGTAACACGAGCTAAATATTATACACGAAAAGTTATACTGTTTCTTATTTAAGCCTAGAGGTTGTCAAAAATTTGTCAGATTTCTTCGTATGCACTTATTCAAAAACAGTAATAATTTAAGTAGCCGTAATTTACAATATTTATAATTACTTCGTGCAAAGCGATTTAAAATTACAAGCTTCACTCTCGCCGTGTATTTCTATCACCGGTCCTTTCAGATTTATTTCAAATTAATTCTAAGTTCAAGTTTGTAGTTTGGTTGTGAAGTTCTAACAATGCAAATACAATTTGAATTTTTAAATCGCAAGAGCATCAAATGTTCTAATTTAGCTAATAATTTATTGTGACTGCATATTCCTTTTCAGAAATCATCCACAAAGAAGAAAATATTAAATCGCTAACGAAACTTTTCG